CCCACCGCCAGCCCCCGCAGCCGTGCCGGTGCCTGGCACAGCAGCCCCTTGACCTCCAGCCCCCGCGGCGCCCGACGGCGCAGCCAGTCCCTCAGCCAGGCCAGGTTGCAGCCGCAGAACCAGGGGTTGTTCCGCAGCCCCAGGTGGCTCAGGCTCCCCAGGTCGTCGAACAGCCCCCGCGGCAGCGTCGTCAGGTTGTTGTCCGACAGATCCAGCCGCTCCAGCGACCGCATCCGCGCCAAGGCGCCGGCGGGGACGTGGCTGATGGCGTTGGCGGCCAGGGACAGGCGGCGAAGGCGGGCGCGGGGGAGGTTGGCCGGCGGCGCCGCTAACGCGTTCCGCCCTAACGAGAGCTCGCTGAGGTTGACCAAGCGGCTGAAGGTGTCGTCCGCCATCCGCTGGTTGGCCAACAGGTTCCCGTCCAGCACCAAGCGCCGAAGTGCCGGCAGACCCTCGAAGGCACGGAGGGGGATGGTGTGAATCCGGTTGTCGTCCAACCGCAGCTCCTCCAGCGCCGGCGGTAATCCCGGCGGGACGCTGCTGAGGTGGTTCCGGGATAGGAACAGTAACCGCAAGCGGCGATTTTCGGCAAAGGCGTCTTCTTCGATGCCGGCAGCCGAGACGGAGTTGTCGTCCAGGTGCAGGCGCTCCAGCAGCGGCGCTCGCGCCAGCGCCCGTCGGCAGAGCCCGCGGACGTTATTCTCCTGGAGGTGCAGCTCCCGCAGCGCCGGCGGCAAATACGCCGGCAACTGCTCCAAGGCGTTGGCGTAGAGATATAAAACTTTCAACGCCGATAAGTGGCCCAAACGTGCCGGGATGCCGGCGTCGCCGATCCGGTTGTTTTGGAGGAAGAGGGTGGTAGCGCCGGGGGGGAGACCCTCAGGAACGGCCGTCAATCCCCGGTCATTGCAGTAGACGCGGCCCCCGGCGCAGCGGCAGACGGGCGGCCCCCGGCGCAGCGGCAGACGGTGGGACAGGCGGCAGCGGTGACGGTGACGATGGTGACGGCGGTGATGGCGGTCAGGAGCACGGAGGGGAAAGG